GCTGCTCGGGCTCTTGCACGAGCGGCTGGAGGTTGGTGGCTGATTGCTTACGTGGCGAGAACGAAGCTTGCGGTCCAGGCGCCGTGGCCGCAACAGCTGCATGCTGGTGCTTTCTAGACAGCGAGATACGTCACAACGCTCAATCACCAATAGCAGCATGTAATTATTACTAGCAGCAACTGCGCTCCCCAAAGTGTGACCGATATGGTGTTACGGCCTTTGTCTGTCGTCCAAGTCTTTCTGGTGGCACAAAGATCTCCGTTGTACTGGGCCGTCTTAAAATGTACCGTATGGCATTAGAATAGGTGCCGATGACTGCTATCCCAGTCGTCCAGGCTCGTCGTCCACGGCTCGTTTTCGCTCCAGGCGCAGCTCGCACTTGGTGGCCCGGCGCGATGCGCGGATGTGCGCAGCGTCTGCGCTAAAGTCTTCCACCAGCCGCGACGGGTAGCTGAGTTTCTTGAAAATCGCGCGGCGCTCGGCTCTGCTGTACCGGTTGATACGGCGCGGGGTCGTCTCGGCCGAGGCAACCTCCACGCATTGCACGCGCTGGTGGACGTACGCCATGCCTAGCGGAGGTCCGTCTTCGCTGGGCACGGCGCTGCCGCCGTGCGCGCGCCGGAATTCGTACACTGTCGCGTTGCTAAACTGTACCGTCTTGGTCCGCTTTGAGTTTGATGGCCCGTCGCTACTACGTGGCCGCTTCTTGGTGACTGTGCTCTCGCTTTGCTTGCGCTGGAGCATGCTGCGTTGCTCGCAAATGCAATTGTGGCGAATTGCAGCATTTTTGGCGCGGGCATGCGTTTTTTGCAAAGACACGCAATGTGTTTTTGGTGAAAAAGAATGTGAAAATCTGTATGCACAATACGACTGTGTGCTGTTCTTCACACGGTATTTCTCACGCACTAAAACACCGTGTGTTCTGAGGTAGGAAACGTTAACACACCTGCGGACTGCTGGCAGAACCGCTTGGGGTGTTCGTTTCGTAACTTTAATGCACAGATTGTCATGTAACGCTGCAAACACTAGGACCATGTGGTTTGATGCGCAAAAACAGGTGACATTCTATCACAATGTTGCACTAAATAGCTTACCGGTACGAAAAAGTCCGACGTCGCGTACGCTCTAATGTACGTACGCCTGGTCGAAGCAGCACGTTGTACTCTTTCGTATTTCCATTCGTCAAAGGCCCTCCTTTAAGCTTACTCTTACTAACGTTATCCTACAGAACCTACAATGTACTACACTGCCGACAACTAATAGAGGATTGGAGTTGACAACCCCCCGGCAAACAGACGTTGGTGCACCTGCTCAAAGGGGCGTGCGATTAGCCACAATGGTCTCAGAACATGTTGTAACCTCGCAAAACCCAATTTGCCATGGACGTCACCGACCGTCTTGCGTACCAGCGTGATCGCAACCGGCGCAAGCAGCAGCGCCACCGCGACCGCAACAGCACCGAACGCAAGGCCCTCGAGGGTCAGATCTACATGCTGCAGCAGTATATTCGTCACTACAAGCCGCACGCTGGCACGGCACTGCCGTGGAATGAAGTCGCGTCGGTATTTGCTGCGGCCAGTGCTGACGCGCACTCGATCAACGACAACTTGCGACAGCAGTGCAAGCAGCTCCGGCAACTCGGCAATACGCTCACGACGTGGGCCAAGGCTATGGAGCGCAGCCAGTACCCACCGGTACGTCTTTCCACTTATTAGCTACTACGAGTATTTTGGCGGTGTCCTGAGTTTGCACTTTTAGGAACCGAACGAGCCGTTTCTGTGGCGCCACGTCATGCTGGCGAGTGATCCGACTGCCCGCAAACTCAGCCTCGACTGGTACTCGCAGCACTTGTACCACAGTACGGAGCGCATTCTCCAGTATGCGCAGTTTCCAACGAACTCGATTGTTGCCGACAACCTCGAGGTTAGCTCCGGTGACGACTTGGCCGACCTCTTGCTCCGCATGCAATATGACATTGCGCTACCGTTCGAAGACGCCCACGCGCGCTTGCACACGTCGTTGGTCCACTTTAACCGGGCGATCAACGTCGGTGTCGACGTAACGTACTTGGACGAAAAGGTCTGTGGAGTCGTTTGCTGCTCGTCGTATGCCCGCTGACGTAAACCTTGTAGCTGACGTGTCAAGTCGACCCGGCGCTAAGCTTTTACCGCGTCGCTATGGGCCCTCGAGTCGACTATTGTGTCAGTCGCTACTACACCTCGACGGACCGCAACGTGTACACGTTTGGCAACCTGCGCCACGACGAGAAAAGCAGTGCTGGTCCCAGTCATGTGTGGCGTCCGAGAATGTTCTGGTAGAAAGTATATAGAGCATGGGCGCGGTCTGATTGACGACTTGGTCAGGTGCACATTGGACCGCATCGGGCCGCAGACGACCCGAATTCGGCTCCTCTTTTACAACGGGCCGATTGAGCTCAACGGACGCCGCTTGACGTGGCGCGAAGAGCTGACGACGTTTGTGCGGGATGCGTCGTCCAAGGCGATTGGTGAATCCGGCGACTCGACGGCTTTCCATCGCAAGATCGCCGAGTCGTCGCGCGGCCACATACAGTGGCATGTAAACCACCTCGGCTTCAATACGCTCCCGCACTGTCCTTGACCTTTGTACTGCAGCATCCTTGCCTTTGGCGACCGCATTTTGAATGTATTTTGTGTGCATCCTCAACAATTGCGATACTAGTACTCAAAAAGAAACAATGTCCCGGGTTCGTGGACAATTCTGTACAATAGAAAGGACTTTTGGGGGAGCCAAACCCAACTTTGCACTGCACTTGCCTTGTTACACAACATCGAACGCCGCGATTTCTCGTTTGCTAGTACACTAGTGTTAAGTGTCGTTTAGATGATGTGCTAGTATTGTGGGAACGCGTCAAACACTGCACGATGGACGTGCAAGTCGTCGCCAGCCACTCGTCGTCCGACCTGGCTGTCAATCACTTGCACATTTTGACCCGTGACACGTGTAGCCAATCAGCATCGCCTATTCCGAAAAGCGAGAATGCCCCCGAAGGGCGACAGTGACGACCACGGTCGCGCCCAGCGCCGCCTCAAGCAGCAGCGCCGCCGCGCCCGCGAAGCCAACGTGCACCGAGACCTCGAGCATCAAGTGTATGTGCTCCAGCAGCTTATCACGCACTACAAGCCTCGTTCCAAGACCATTCTGCCGTGGACACAAGTCGCCTCGGCGCTGCACGACGCCGCCGACGATGCACTGATGACCAACGCCGCGCTACTCACTCAACGCGAACAACTTCAGAGGCTCGGACACTGCCTCGCGTCCTGGGCTGCGGCGGTTAATCGCCGCTACAACGTGCCGGTATGGCCTTTCTGAGTTTGCACTTTGATCATCCAACAAATTAGGCAGCGAGCGAGCCGTTTGCGTGGCAGCACGTGCTGCTACCGACCGACCCGATCGCGCGCCGCACGAGCATTGATTGGTTCAGCCAGCGCCTCTTTCACAACACGGACCGGATGCTGGCGCACGCGTCGTTTCCGTCGTCGTCGTTGCGTGTCATGGACCACGTCGAGATCGACTGCGGCGACGACTTGCTCGATATTACCGCGCGTCTGCAGGTCGACATTGCATTGCCACTCGAAGCTGCGTACTCGGCCCTGCGGAATACGATCTGGTCGATCCTGCGCGGGGACAATGAACCCAGGCCGTTGTCTTTTATGGATTCGGAGGTCGTCAACTCACTTCACATGCGCCTGCTGATATCTAAGCGTGTAGGCGTTGCAAGCGATCGATACCAATCTGTTTCTTATGCAGCTTGGCACCGCCGACAATGTCGACCATTTCGTTGGACGCGAATTTCACGGACCAAACCGAGTTGTGTTCATTTCGGGCAACATCTTTTCGCGGCTTCACGACCGCAGTATGCCGTGGCGTCCCCGTCTCTTTTGGTGCGTACACACCCCATCTGCGGTGGGATCCTACGGCGTACTAGGCACACGCTCGACCGCCTCGGTCCGACGACGACGCGGCTGCGGGTGCTCTTCTACAACGCGCCGTGCATTGGCGCTGGCGGTCGGCGCACTTCATGGCAAGAAGAGTTTCGACACGCCCAGAGCATGCTGGCTTTGGAGCCTCAAGCCGACGAATGGGCGGCATACCAGCGCTACATGGACGGGTTCCATGCGACTATGCTGCAACAGTATTCGCAACGCCTCGGTTTGCACTTGCTTCCGACTGTCTAGTCGTACGCTGAATACATATATATCATGAACGGCACGGTGTTGCATTGTGCTGCAAGAGGCGACAGGGACTCGAAGACATGTTGGCCGACCACCACGTCCAACGACGACGGGTTTACCGTGAGTCACCAATCGCCTCTGTGGCTTCTACGCTGCCTCGAGCACATCATGGCCCCAGAGCTCCTCGATGGCCACCTCGTTTGGAGGCTGCTCGTGTAGAAGGGACGTGCTCTGACCGAGAACGGGTACACTGGAGACTGCTACCTATTGTGCTTGGCTGCCACCGGTAGCCCGGCCTGAAGACGCCCATCTACCAAGCCAACCAAGCGAATCCGAGCCCAGGGACGCACTAAATGGTGGGAACACTGTGTTGTAGGCTGTAGACGTAGTCTATTGACGCTTATCACATCCCTTTTTACGAGTTGAGACGACTGAGCGACATCCCCCGTGGACCCTTGTCCAGGCTTCACGACAGCTTCATGTTGCCAGCGCATGGCACACCGTCGGCATACATGTTTGTGCCAGGCGTCTTTGGAAGCAAGAACATTTTTGCGGGCATTGAGAGTTGTGCGATGACATGTGTGCGTCAACGTCGGCAAGACGTAAGTTCGTACCATCCAGTGGGCAAGTGATATCGTGTCAGTCGAATACACCAATATAGAAGACATAATATGGGCTAGTTCGATATCGTCGGGAGCAAATGCAGACCAATCTCGTGCGAGTGTTCCTTGAGGTACGTCGCCGTGTAGTCGTCCTTGAAGAGCTGGTGGGCACTCCACCGATCAGCTTTGGGTATGTGGCGAAACGAGCTGTCGAGTTGGCAGAATTCCTCATGCCACGTCATGTACTCGCCGGTGGCGTCGACGCATGGTGCCTTGTAGAGAAGCACGCGCATCCGCGTCGTTCTTGGTCCCGACCGTTCCAGTATGTACCTAGTCA